TCCTCTACGTCCGTAGCATTCTTAAGTGTTACACGAAGTAGCCTCGGGTGATTTTGATGCTTAAATTCCTTTCCCCGAGTGAGCTGTGTGACTGTCAAAAGCTCTATTCTTGAAAGTCCAAGTTTCTTGTTCAATTCTCCTCAGAGCATCCTATCATTTTTGTCCTGCAAACTGAGAGGAAGGTCAGGGTTGTCTTTGAAGTTCATGACTATAAGTGAGCCATCACGAACCGTTATTGTCGTCCCAGGTTTTCCGGTGCGTTCAGGTTTAGCACCTTGTTGTTTGGGGGTCGAGGCACGTTTATGAATCCTTGGCTCTTTGATGACTGGACGGTCAATCTTGGGGGTAGACTGTGCGACCAGATCACCAGTTGATTTCCGTTCAACAGCTGGGATGTTCAACTTAGACTGTGACGCCTGGCCATTTTTAAGTTTTTTGACATGGGTCCAATCAATTACAGAGTTTTTGGTGCTTATTTTACTGTTCAGGTTAACAAGCTTTGATTCATTTTCTTAATGAACACAAGATATGTTAGTCCTTTCAACGATTTTCTTCTAAAAGGCGTAACCAAATGATCACTTTAATTTGTTAACGTTTTAATATATGACTCAGAAATAGACATAAATATCTGCATTATCGATGTTAGCCCTGTTATGTACGAGAACCACTATCAACAAGATGGACAATATAGAAACGGTCTAGCTGAAAAAACGATATACTTTGTGCACTTAACAGTCGGATGGTAGGATAAGGGCAGCATTGGAAACTGAAGTGATACATCAGGTGTTTTCTGCCGATGAAATATAAGGAGATTCGCCATAAGTCGATTGACGATTTTGCTGATGAGGTGTTTGTTTTTTACATTTACATTGAGTATTCTTGTGCCTAAACGTCAAATTACGCCAAAGGAGGAGTGGTATGTGAATTTTTCAACAAAATCGTCCCTTTGTAGGCAGTCTAAATGAAGTCACTTTTCAACGCCCTTTGCCAAATGGACCTGAGTGAGTAGAAAGCCTATTAACAGCGAACATGACTACACTTTTGAGCGTTTTTGTCCTCCTCATCAAAATAACAATTCTTCACACTACTTTGTCCATAACAAACATCCACTAAAACCGTAATTAAAGCTTACATAAGCTTAATTTGCATAAAATTTAGGATGAAATTATGGGTACTTCAGATCCTTTAGAAGTATCATAAATTATACATCTCGAGCAGTCGTTATGTTAAAACCGATCCCAGGACGCACATATAGTGAAATGAATCTACCTAGACGTGAAGATGAGTGAAGTCATGCAAAACCATAATCAAATTATCAATCACTTTGAAACTAGCACTACCAAAAAAGAACTATCAATGTGTGCTAAGTCGTTTATCAAACAATATACTCGAATAATAACACACATATTTTCTTATTATATCCCAATAATTAGAAAATTTGTACTTCTGACGTTTCGTGACTCGATGTGGGGAATCTTTTAGAGTAAATAAATAAGTGAGTTAAATTAACTCAAATTAAAATAATTCAAAGTGAACAACTCAGAGTATTTTTAGTACACTCCAAAGCATAATAGGTCTGAATATGCCAATGTCAAATTATTGGTCATTGTAATTCACTTTAGCTAAGAACATTAAATCACGAAACATCAGAAACAATATTCTTCTACTCATTGGGATATGACAAAAACATGTAATAATAAAACTCTACTGAGTGACAATTCATTCAAAACTATCAAGTCCAACCATGACACTGATACCTAAAAATATATCCGTTTGATCCACAGCAAACAAAAATTAGTAAATAAAGAAACGAAGACTAACTAGCGAAAATGTCTTTTAAGGTGAAAGTTATAGTCACTTTTTTGCAATGTATACCATTCAAAGTTGCTACTTGTACTGACAACCATCTCAACGACTCTATCATATATGATCAATAATAATGGATCGTTATTGATGCAGCAAATAACTGTTAAACCGAAGACGTCAGGGTTCATTCCCTGATTATTACAGATTTTCGACCGTAACAGGCGACTGTCACATTACAAGGAGCTGATGTCACGCATGAAAGTGTATACACTGATCATTTATTTGTGGAGTAAGATTGATCCTGCCAACGGTGATGACGGCTTTCAAGGAAGTGGGGCAGGAGTTAGTTCGTCATATATCCTCAGCTATCAAAACCTTGCGCCGATTCTCGTTAATGCACAGACTAAGTGACACAAGTGTACATTTCACGGGAAAACTCTCCTCCGTTGATGTAAGTACGTTTCGATTCTCGGTATTTGGTAATGAGAAAATGTCGAAGTCCCTTAACAATATCTATTGTTTGTGGGTGTGGCCATTAGTTTCTACCAACACAGTCATCGGGGCAGAAAATACGATAACTTTAAAGATATCTATTACCCGTTAAACACGCGAATGAAGTCTTCAGAAAGTCTTGAAAGATAACTCATTCTAGATGTCTTGGGTCGACCATCCAGGATTGGTCGTTCTGTGTGCGTTCCTGCACTTTGTGTAAAATACATTATTCTACTGCTATCAAGAATTCATCGTGTTACGGTTATTTATAAAGTGCACTGCTGACCGCTATGGCGGAACCAGTCACTGTAGACGATGATGGAACTTCTTATGAAATAGAAATTCACATCATTGCAATTCAACAATATTTGGTTGGTCTGCTAAATTAGTAATGTAGATAAATGGTGTAATACCGATCAAGACCTAAAACCTGTAAATGCACTGTCTAAACAATGTGGTAATGGTTTTCTTGTAATTTACATTTCTACTAATAAGTACTTTACTTTCTCATCGATTTATTATGAATCTGAGAGTATTAAACTAGTTTCTGATTTTAAAACTCCTTTCAGACTACTACTGAACAGTTCGTTTCCATCAGATTTTCATTTGAGAATTCCCCTCTCATTATAGCAAGGAACTGCCTTGTAAATGCAATTCTGTGTATGTTTTGTATAAATTCATGAATGTAGATCTCAAGTACAATGCTCATCTAGAAGATAACTGGTTTGCCGTCAAATTTCAGACGCCATACTACTTTAATGAATTATAATTACTTGCACTGATGTTCATTAAACGATTTATGCACAGTTAAAGGTGTAGTTGTTTCGCCTAAAAATTAGCCATCTATGATTCAATTAACTTGACATATGAGAAGCTCGAGAAGTAAGAACTGTGATTCCGCCAATCCTCTGCCGGAAGGGCTTAAAAAAGAGACAAGATTACTCGAGCAATTCTGCTAAATTCGATGTTGTGGAAATGTAGGCTGGAGGCTTTAGAGAACAACCGGAAGTAAACTGAAAATACAATAATGATAAAATGTCTCGACAAGTATATGTGTTTGAAATCCAAAGTGCAAATACAACACATTTTTCAAATCAACGCAATCTCATTGTGTTTTTTGAAATTTAAAAAAGGACCAATTGCGTTTTATCTGATTCTATAGACTTGTGATGACACGAGTACCTAGCTATTGGATACTACGTTGAAGTCACATTATTGTCTATATCGTCTGGTTCAACCATGATAATCGATTGTATTCATTTTGTCTTTTTTCGGGGATATATTTGGGCTTGAGACAGACTTGTATCATTAACGTAAGAAGGACGATGTTAGATTTAGTCTTAGGCCATCTGTGTAAGCAATCTATATGAATGACCAGAGTCCTGCTTAAGGTCAACAGGGACGACGCTATCCACCCAGTTTTTATCGAAGTCATATTTGGCGGTTAATATCTGAATTGGGTTGATATCTCGTCGCAACCAGGTCCTATAATTGCCTTGATGACAAAACAACATTATTATAGACACGCATTGGTAGGAATAGGTATAAACAACAGGGTACGACCGCCGTGCATTTAGTTGTTATGTAACGGTCACCCCTATCACTACGATGGTCGGTTAAGTGTTCGATATTCATTGACTTGACCGTCGAATTATTTGGTTAAAGCCCGGTGAAATTTCGCTGGCCTTACAAAATGTTCACATCTTCACCTTTTCTGCAAAGCTTCAACCGTTCAAAGGCTAATGTAGCTCTTCTCAGTTATGACATATTCGACGCCAAAGGTTATGTAGTTGGGAACCAGTGCTATTACAGATCTGTTTATCAATCAAACCATTGTCGTCCAATCCAAAATTAATCAGGCAACGGTCATTAGAGAGTAGTTTGCTCGTAGAAGGGTTGCCGTTTCTGAATTGTATTCACTCAATGTGGCGGACGATGAGCATAAGTGCCAGACGGGATGAGACTCCATCGGAAAAACTTGTATACTTATCAAATGTGTGGATTTCATTCAAACGCTTAGAAATTACTGTAATTAATAATGACGAACAAGTATGTTCAATAAAACGTTCTAATATCCGGTGTTAAGGTCAGATTCAACTGTGTATCTCCACACTAAACAATGGTCTGTATAATTATGGTTTACTATGATTGTGTGGTTATGGTCCAATGCCACTACAGGTCTATACTAATCCTTGAGATTCGATCTCAAGGAACAATGGCTGCTATACTAGCTAAATCAACATTAGAGGACTTCAATAGCGTCACTGGTAAAGAAGTATCTATGTACGTATAGGTTATAAACCGTACGAACAGTTAAGTCTTGGAATCAGCCACAGAATGAAGGAGTGCCGGTAACGTCCTTGAAGTCTATGAACTTAGGGACTGTAAAAAGCATTTCTCTTTAACCTTCCAACGCTTTCTTTGATTCTATTTGCTTCAACTGCAGAAGAAAAAATACAGGAGAATCCACAGTGTGTTGTTACTAGACTCAGAAACCCGTTTTGTGAAAACTTAGGAAATCGACTGAAAAGTGTAATTTTAAAAAACAAAATATAACTTAAAAAAATATATCAGAACTCGATCTCATGAAATTGGTTAAGAGATTATAGCTTTTAAAGCAAGTAGCTAGTGGCACTCATTGTTACTTATTTCATTCTTGAATATGTTTGACTTCATCGAATTGCACTAACTTTAACTCACGCGAATTTAAGTGAGTAACTTTTGATGTGTCGTTAGTTGACTACGAGAGTAGGCTTTCTAAGAAATAGTCATAAGTTCATGAGTGTGTTAGGTAAGATCTGCATTTTTACGTGTGGACTTGTGCTTGGAGTTCCATTGAAAAAGCTGTTTCAGACTTAAAATTATTTAATGTGCACATTTAAATGTTCAAGTAATTACTTGAACTTACTCATCGATTATGATTACCTTTTGACAACTGCGGAATCCCTCGTAAAACTAACTTAAAACATAGCATTCAGAGATCGTTTTGACTGCGTCGAGTATAATCCTGTATTAACCAGATTAATGCCATGTCAACTTTCCATCACATATCATAGCTATTCAGCTTAAATAAAAACAATCTACTTTTCACCTAAGTGATATGATGTCGTTGAAATTACGCATGCGATTTATGGTCAAAATTGATATTTTATCATGGACATTCTTGGAACACTTATTATGCCTCTAATACTCAGAAGATCAGCCTGACGGCAAGCCTTATTTTCATGTAGTATGAAGGAAGGTTTCCATGAGAATCCTATAGGAAGATGTAAAGTATAACATTTGGGAGCATAGGTTTGCGAGCGCACATACTTCACATACGAAATGTACGCAATGTCAAATGATGAATATGAACCCGAACCAATTTTTAATCAAAGACGTTATCAATAGTTGGGTTTCGAAAATGGAAAATTGTACGATTTTGTGTAAAGTAGATAAAATTATTATTACCTGCCTAGTGAATAACCACATTCTTCTTTGTGACCGACCATATATCTTGAGGAAGTTCAGCCGAAATAAGTTGTGGCACTGAATGCAAGGTAGGCTTTAGAAAACTTCTGAGTTCATAAAAATTCATCTAGACGGCCAAAGACTAAATCAGAGTTCAAAAACGACAAAATAACGAGAGTTCTTGTTAAGTTGTTAAATCAGGTTAAAGCGGGAATTCATTTACATAACATCTGCCATTTCATATAACCACAATGTGAGTACATTGTCCCTACTAACGTCGGCGCTAAATGTTGAGAATCAGTTAGGCTACAGACAACGTTTATGTTCACTAAAGTCACCACATTGAAGAGTGATTTTGAGAATATAGGAACTTAATAATCTATGCTAGTTGTGTGAATCTTCCAACTTTATCTTTTGATCATGGTGCTCATTCTCTCATTCTCTCTGAATGGCTAATATTTTCAAAATTTACCAACCTTTCCTTGATTTAACTACGCTTTCAAGCAAAGCCTGACTAATAGTGATTTGTTTTCCCTAAACTTGCTTTAAGGTTTTTGATTGTAGTCGAGTTTTGGCTCATACACTGATTTTGTACACGACTATTGAAATTAGCAGCTAACCAATGCTTTCGAACGATGATAGCTGACGTGTAACATTCGTGATTAATCAACAGAAGCGTATATGTCACACCATCATTAGTTTCGTTTGGAAAACACTAAGTTATAATAATCATTAGTAATATTTGCATTTACCGAAACAGAACTTGTCAAAAGCATTTAAAACAAATTCCAGTAGCTTAGTATGAAAACACAGTTAAAAAAACAAGGCTTTTGACACACAAAAATGTAGTATATTGAAATAAATGAATAGAGTGAATATTTATCAACAAAGCGCAAGGTTGACTGGTTTTGATCCGTGCTCTTAATTAGAATAATGGATTCAGAATTTAGGAACAAGTTCCTAAGGAAACGCTATTAAAGACTCGCAACAGAAAAAGCATTACTTAAAGTCGAATCGGAACTGACTCGAAAGGCAGTATCTACTAGTTTGTGAGTAATACTCATTGGAGTCAAACGTACTAGCAATAGGTAATGGTTACGTTCCATTTTGATGAAGGACATCCGTCACTAATGATTTAGAATTATTCTGCTGCATAAGAAAAGAGAAACACAGAAGACATATTGTAAACAAAGTTGATAAGCTGTGACTAAAAATGTGAATGGTAAATAAGTTTAAATAAAAGTGAAAACACTTCTATAATTCTATGACACACTTTATTTTTATATTATATTTGAAAAAACTAAAGATTTAACCTGCGCCTTACAGATAATTTGTGTACATGAAGCTTCTCTAAAATCAAATGTCGAGAAACAAAGTCAAACCATTTCAAACAGTTAAGAGAAATGGTTTAAATCAAGCATTACTGCACAATCGTTGTTGTTTAGACTTTTCGAGGTTCTTCATTACATAACGATTATAGTTATAAAAACTATTATAAGTGTGATTGGTTGTTGAGTTTAAAGGGTGTTTGTTTGTCACCACGTCTTGTATGCGTGACTTCAGAAACAGCAATTTGTAGGAATAACAACCCTGATTCTTGTTAAGCAGATTACACTTAAATCTTTATTCAGTTATGACCTTTTGATTATATATCCACTTCGATCATTAGTAGACTAAACATGGGACAGCGTCAAAGACCAACTTTAAAAACTGAACAAACTTTACAAACATGGTCTGTGAATGCATAAAAGATTATTTAAAGACGTCAACATCGAGAAATCTTGATAAATCTATATTAAACTCAAAATAGTGTATGTCAAAAAGGAAATGTTGTAGAGCGTAAAATTACGCACTATTATTTTACATAACTCTAATTATCTGGTTTTATAAAGTGAGAATTAAATCCGTCTTACCAAGTAAACGTACTTTCAGTATATTGTTTTGCGTGACATATTAATCCCACATCATCATTTTCTGCTCTCTGTAAATGTCTTTACAGATTAAATAAAATTTAAAACTGGTTAGTTTTAGAACAGATGTCTAAGAATTGTAAAGAAACCGACTATGAATTTTCCCGATAACCCTTTCCAATACAGAAGTGAGTAATTGACTTTTTCCATAACTTCAAGTAACTTATATGTGTTATATTGTACACTGCGTCTTCATAATTTATATTTTAACATGATATCTGTAAGGATGCGTTTACAGGATGATTTCTAAAATTTTAATATCAATTCAAATGCTCTTTTACAAAAGAGCTCCTTAAATATGCGATTTGCCATTTTAGTTTTACGATTTTATGTTTCAAAGACTAACATTTCCAAAGATGTTACGTCACTAAATGCGTTTTAGGATAAATGACTAATACCCATTTTGCATGTTATTAGGGTACCTGCAGTTCGAAAAAGGTCAGCAAGAAAAATGACAAACGTCCTTAAAATACGTTTTATTCTATTTGTATATTACGTGTGTAAATCTCGCTGGATAGTGTGACCTACTAAGTGTGTGAAAGATTGGGTCATTATGTCAATCACGCGTTATTGAAACATATTAAAATATACTAGAGAAAACGATCTTGAATGTTTCTAGTTTCTTTGATGAAATTAAGATGAATGGAAGCGGATATTTTGATTAACTGAATGCGTTTAAGTTACAAAATCTCTGTACACAACTGAGGTTTGGCTCAGAAAAATGATTAAAGAGATTTCTTTTAAATAATCGGTGTTAATGCGTGCTAAAATCAGTCCTTAGAATAATCATGAAACGTCCAGGTAGATTATCTTTTACACTTCATCTAGAACTAAGTTTAGCAAATAACGTGGTTCATGGTCGTCCATATGTAAAAAACATGTATGTAAAAACAAGTCGAACAAATGAGCTTGGGACTCTTTAAAAACAACCAGGCCTAGTGTGGATTTATTTTATGAAGTATAGATCTTATTTGCGACATAGACCTATTAATTTACCATAATCATAACTACTTGTTCACTTAACTTATTCAATGTTTTAAGAAATATGACATTCTCAAGACGTTAGTTAAACTGTCGATCAATCAACCTTGTTCAATGCCTACCAGTATCATTTTTACATTAAAAATTGAGTGTAGATTAAAAAGACACCGTAAGAATGGACCTCTTTTTTATAACTAAAACATAACTTTGAACTTAAAAGTTACAAAGTGAGGCGTTTCTCAGGTCATTTAAATGGCGCATGAATTATGTAGACATTTCCTTTAGAAGGCATAGTATCTACCATGTTTACAATTTATGACCTTCAGGAAGTGAACCTGCCAGAATTTGAATGCTGTTTGTCTAATCACTTATTTACATTAGTGTATTATAATGAAAAGCATTTTCTCTGAATTTTTGAAAATAGACAAAAACACTTATTGTTCAAGTTTGCTTCCAACATCAAAATGGGGATTTCCAAAACATAATGACAGTGAATTAGATTTGTTTTTATTCCCTTAATTTATTGTGAAAGCTTTTCATAAGTCATATTCACAATACTTAGAAATAGATTAAATTATCTCATCACTGCAGTTATTCTTTCCTGTCCTCTTAGTTGATTACTTAATCTTACTACGTGTGGACAACAACACTACTATGCATTCACATAGTTATTAATTGACTCTAAGGATAATACTAAATTACAAAACAACTCAAAGACTATAGGTCCTGACCAGTGAACACAAAAGTATCAGAGTAAGTTACACAAAAAGACATTTCTTACTGATTTGATGATAGTGTAGAATTCGAAGTTAGTTTTCTAACTAAATTTATATAAATTAATAAACTATTTCAAACCAAGAGGATGCTATACAATAAGTTTGACATACTTTAAGACTCTTCAGTAGGTCACAGCAAAAACTCTCTCTAACATTGAATTCTGATCCTTTATGTCCGACTGTGTGTGAAACAGACCATTACTGGGTCCTGCATTTCGACTGCACAATGTCTGGATCTCTCTTGTCTTAGACGATTTCCTGCCTGACGTCAGTCCTCACACAAAATCCTTACTCAAAAATAAATTTTAAACTTTTGTTTTGTACATTTATTTACCTTAACATATATTTTTCACTATTCACTTAATGAATCATATTTCTAAAATAAACAAAAAATAACTTCATTTCAGTAAAAACAAACAAACTAAAAGAAATGTGAATATTTAAAAAGAAATAAATCCCTCTGTCATCCCTGTTTCTGTGAATAAAAAAATTAAAAAATTTGTTTTTCCTAGCCTGATTCAACTTTTTCCACCCTTCTAATTTTCTCTTCAAATCATCTGATTGATTTTTAAATCAATAAAGTATTGATTAAAATCAATCTGAATGTTGATAAGTGTAGTTCGAAGAAAATACTGTTATATTTCAGTTAAATCACTTCAGTGGCTATACGAACTTGTTTTAATTGACGTTTAATAACCAACTAAACGTTTTTTCTTAATGAAGTAAAAAAGACTGACCTTAAATAGTAAAATTATAAGCTAAAATTGCATTTGTACAATATTTTAAGCCAAATTGAGTGTACAAAATATATGCTGTTTACGTATATTATAGATAATTAGTCTTCACATCATTGATCTTATAATCAGTAATGTTTAGATGACAATTAGTTTGGCGAACAGTCACATATCTTACACCAATTTGAAAGCAGAGTGATCATAAAGTCCATCTTTTTTTGGATAACGGCAAGATATAATGGTTATGTTATGACAGTCAGCTGTTAGTCGAATAAAAAATCAACTAAACATCTATATTCTGAGTTATATTATTGATAATTATAATGTCTGTTTCTAGATGTATACGATAGTTAGAAATAGGATTCACCTACTGAATAAATTCCATTTTAACCCACAATTCATTATAAAGAGGAAAATGATTATGCCTATTATGTTCTTAAAATTAGATTTCTATCTAAAAATGTTATATTCCCAGTGTATCATTTACAAAAGTGATTTTATGAAGTTTATTCAACCATCAATGTTAAAAACACTGCAATAGTTAGTCACCAAAATAGGAGTAACATTTTACAATTTTACTTTATATATGTCTAGTTTCAAATAAACAAATATATTGGTTTATTTAATACTTTAAAAGGACATCATTAATACAGCGCATTTAATGAGAAGTGATTTTTCGGAAAAGGTAAAATAACTGTTGTGTAAACTAGTTAATGTTAAATAGCATTGAAAAACTAAAGTTTTGGAGAATAAACTACTTTTCACTCGTTTTGAATATAACATTCAAATACGTCTTTGAAACTATAGTTAAAATTGTAAAATGGTATTTGTGTTCATTTCAGGCTGTATCATATCATATTATTGATGCTATTTTTTATTGTTTATTAATTGACAGTCTGTTTATCTCTTGGTTACATGTATATTAAAATATATTGCTGATTGCTAACAGGCATACTTGTTACCTATGATTTCTATTTTTACTATAATTAAAAGGTATATTATGTGTGACGATTGCTAGACTCATACACACAGATAGTTATAAGTTCAGCATTTATCTATCCTTCTGATCAGTTGTAAAGAGCTAATGTATTAATCATAACACTTAGTGTTCAAACAGATCTTAAATATTGTGCATTTGGAATTATTATCGTTTATGGCCAGTGTAATCTAATGTACGCTTTATTTGAAATTATGCTCATACACAAAATTAGATCATTCAAGCTGTACAGATTTATGCAGACTTATGAATAATTTTATATATTCTGTTTCAGTCACTTCCTTGTTCATTCATTCGTTATGATAAACACTGGTTGATAATGATTGTTTAGTATGACAGTTGAAGCAATGTGGTATACTAACTGACCAATGAGGTATGCTCTTCAACCTGTAGGACTGATCAATATCTAATAATTAAGTCGGACTATGACAAATGGGCCAAGTGATGCTAAATGGTTACATTTGATTGTCAGAATACTACAAATTTGAGTCACATAGCGGTTTCACTGAAACTAATCCACTTACTGGCTATTTAATTTAAATACGAAAGGTTTACAAATCGTTTGTTTAAATGAAACCTATGCAGATTTTCATCAACGAATTTTTTAGTGTTAACCGAACTAGTCAAAAAAATTCTAAATTACGTACAAATATAAATGAAATGATTCTGTTAGTTTCTGAGCAATACAGAATTCATCCTGTTTCTAACTCATAACCGACCAATTGACCAGTTAGTTTTTCATTTTTCGAATTTTATCCAGCCAAGTAAACCTAATTATTAAGAAAGAAATACAAGTTAAATGAAATAGTGACATAAGGCTGAAACATAATTATTACCAGAGACTATCGGAAGGAATGCAACAACGATTTAACGATTACTTTAATTTATTATTCAACATTAAATCCCTAAGCAAGTCGTTTTGTATTTTTTATTTCATTTCATATTTTGTTGGAAAAACCATAAATGAAGTAAAATAAATAATCATGATTAATTAAAACATTGTTTGTTCTAATCTATGACTCATTGATTTACATCAATGATCGATTTTTGGAAATCGAATCTAATTACTGATCAGTTTATCGTTCTATTAATTATTTGGCAGTAGTTTTAGTCAGATTTTATTGAGTTTAACTTATGACAAAAATTGAAAATGCAAATTTCAGTCTACATAAGTTCAACTTGATTCCCTCATTTCTAATTTAAGGAAACTACATGACCATAAGTACTTCAAGCACCCAATAAACTTTAGCTTTATTAGGATAGTTAAAATAATATAACTTTTAAATAGATAAAGCAAAATAGTTTGAATCTTGGACATAATATGATTCATAAGTACGACTGACTCTTTATCTGCTGTTGCATAATTTGAGGGCTGTAGAATGTGACACAAGCTTATTACGTAAAACAATCTAAATTTAGATGTCAATATCTGAGATCATGAGTCAATTGAAGCTAGACCACCATGGAAAACCTGCAAGCACTGGACGGTCGTTTCGTTCTATTGTGAGACTCCTCAGCGCTCGCGAGCGAGACTGACAGGTCCAGGGTTCGGATCACGCGTGGCGAGGTCTTGGAGTCCCAAAATAGGACGAAATGGCCGTCCATTGCTTTCAGGTTTTCCATGGAGGTCTAGCTTTAAT